ACACTGAACGTTGTATAATGTTTGACTCACGTTGTGAAATTCCATTTCAGAACTTACTTGACCATACTAGTTAAAGATTATTTTTAATACCTTTTATTAATTTCAATGAAAATTATAATAAAATGTATGAAATTAATCACAAGTGATATAAAAATAATTTTAATATATATATTTTTTAAATTATGACGTTAATAGTTTTAACTAGTTAAAATTTATGTTATTTGTTTATTAACAAATTTAATTTAATTATTTTTAAATGATCATTAATACTTATAAGATTTAAAATTATTGGTTTAAGACAACTAGTTNCTCACACATACACACATATGCATTTATAACATTGTGTCTAATGTAAGTATAACATGATAAAAAGTAACCGTAAAATGAAAAATATGGAATATAAATTTTAGTACTCTTATTAAATGTAATGTAACTCGAAAAATATTTGNACCTATTTATCAAATGTGAAGTTAATGTAATTATTTTAACCTTTAAAAAATAATTTGTTAAGTAAACAATAATAATTTTAAGAAAATTATGCATTTATTTCCGAATCTATTAAAAAAATTAATTTTTTTAAAACTGACATACAATGATGTATTGTTATATTAATCATATATTGCTATAACATTAATAGAATAAATTTTTTTTTATCTTAAAATATTACACTTAAGTAATTAAAAGTTTAAATAGTCTGTATAGATAATAACTTTTTGTATAAAAAGCTAACAATTTTCATTTTATCATTAATATATTATTAAAACTTTACTTATTTAAAATTCATTAAATTTAAAACGGATAATATTAAAATATGATTTATCAATTTAAAATATTACTGTTTGCAAGTTGTATTGTATCAACTTTATGCTTTCCGAATAGTTGTGGACCATCAAATACTGAAGCTTCTTCAAGTGAAATACCGGTAACTTACTAGAATTTTATTTTCTAATTTATTACAAATTATAACACTAACAATATAAGATAAAAAAAATTATAGAAAAATGAAAAAAAACTTTATTTATTTATTAATTATACAGGACATTAGCTTCTTTGTTTACAATGATATTTACAAATATTGTTTTCATCAGACTTCTTGTTTACAATTTTTACATGAACTCTTTATGAAATTTCAAAGTTGATTCTGAATCATGTTTTAAATCTTTTCTATCATACTTAGTTTTTAAGTTAATTAATAATTAGTAATTAAGCAATTAATTTTTCTGAAATTATTTAATGATGTTTAATGAGAGCTATGTAATATTTAAGACTGTTTCATCAAGATTAACCGATTTTTTGAATCTTAAAAATCGTGTTTTAGTATTAGTAAAAAAAAAAAAATTGAACTTTCAAGTATATATTTTTTTGGTTTAACTTAAAATTATAAAACTTAAACAAAAAAAAAGATAATTGTATGAGGATATAAAAAGTATTATTTCTGTGAATTTCTAGTAAATATAAAGTGAAAAAATTACTGTTAATACAAAATATACAGGAAAATCTCGGAAATTCGTAACTTNTTTACGGGGAACAAGGGAATTTTTTTCAATTTTTGAGGGTAATGAAGACATTATACGATAGATACGATATGTTATCTTTTGACGTATCATTGAAAGAAATCAATTCTATGAGATCCGAGGAAAAGTTAATAAAAATACGTCATATATTGTTCATCAAAATCGGGCCAGTGAGAGCTGAGATTGAGCGTTCATAGACACACAAAAAAGAACCCAGAACTGGGGGGTCGCGGCACAGTTGTGACGTGGTATAGTTGGATCAAGTATAATGATATCTGACAGTGATTAAAATCACTATCAAAAATAAACGCTTCGATGCAAATCTTTAGATAGTGTTTAATTTTAAAAAAATTGGTGTTTTATTCCAAAAGCTACTTGATTTGCTGGTTCCTTAATATCTCGATTAAGATAAAGTATGTCGAATGAAAAAGGGTTTATTAAAAAATATTATTTCTCATAAAAAAATTGTGTGGATCCATAAACTTTTCAATAAGTTATAGCATTATAAAGTTAAATATAATATAAATAATAAAATCGAGAATTTTCACACGAAAATAGCATTCGGTAGCCATTTTCGCCGTGAAGACAAGTCCAGAGGTCAAATTTTTTTTTTTCAAATTAAAGTATATTACATTAGCTTTAATTTAAGATATATATAAAAGTGTCAGACCTTCCGGAACATTTTCAAAAGTTAAGTTGAAAAAGTTAATTTTTTTTGAAAAAGTTGTCATTTTAAATTCCCCCCTGTGGGCAGAAAGAAGGACAAATTTACAAAAAAAATATACCAAATGATAGGTAAAGACATCAAGCATCTATAAAAAAAAAATTATATTGATATGTTCATTTTTAAAAAAGTTATGGCAGTTTTTAGTAAAAAAAATTGAAAAAATTTCGAAAATTAGCCATTTTTTNGTTGGAATTTCAAAGATATCAATCGCTTAATAGTTTTACATTACTCTCTTATAAGATCTAGTTAGGAATATGGAATACTTCGAATAGTTTCACCTCATTAATCGTCTAAACGTGATTCAGTCAATTATGTTAAGTGGTCTATGTCAAATATATAATATATAGAGTGATAGCACAGTGGGGTCGTGGCACAGTATGGACGTGGCACAGTATGGACGTGGCATTGTTGGGACAAGTAGATGATATCTGACAGTGATTAAATCCATTATCATAAGAAACGCTTCGATGAAAATCTGTAGATAGTTTTTAATTTTAAGAGATTGGTAGATTATTTCAAAAGCAACCATAATTCTTATTCTCTTAAATGATCCCGATTTATAATTATAATATATGAATACATAATAAATATAGTAATTAAATTTAGTATGAAATTGATATTCAATAATATAATATTGTAATTTTTACGGAGATATTATAAAAATAAATAAAATAAAATAAAATATTCATATACTTTTAACGTGTATAAAAATCAAAGGGATTGATGCAATACTTTTTAATAAAAAATTTTTGTTACTTATGAATAAATACACTAGGCTATAATGAACTTTCATCAGAAACAAAAATATACTCTTCTAATCAACTTTTCGCTGTTTTCAAATGTGAAATTAAACTTTTTGTTTTATATTAATACTGATTTTGATTATTAATATGTTTAAAATAAGGAAAATTACATATTTAACTAATTTTTTTAATTCGTTAAAGTAGATTTTTGTTTAATTAAAAAAAAAAATTTGTTAAAATAGCATATTTTTAATATGGTAGCCATTTGCGCATAGAAGATAGGTCGTCGGGACAAATTTTTTTTTTTCATTTTATATTACATGAAATAAGCTTTAATTTGATATTTGTTTAAAGGACGCAGTATTTCCGGAACATTTTCAAAAATTAATTTGAAAAATATCTATGTTTTTTACAATATTTCAAGTTTTGGACGCCCCCTATATAAAAAGTATGTCAAATGAAAGATGTACTTATAATGTAATTAGAAAAAAAAATTTTGTGCTGATATATACATTTTTCAAAAAGTTATAGCATTTTTAAGTTGAAAATTTAAAATCGAAAATCGAAAATTTTAACACAAAAATAGTGTTTTTTTAACTACGGCAGCCGTTTAAATGTAGAAAAAAAAGTGTCGGGACAAATTTTTTTTTTTCATTTTATAGTACATAAAATAAGCTTTAATTTGATATATGTTTAAAGGACGCAGTATTTCCGGAACATTTTCAAAAATTAAGTTGAAAAAGTTAATTTTTGTAAAAAAGTTGCTATTTTAAATCCCCCCTAATGAGCAGGTTAAGTGATAGATTTTCAAAAAAAATGATATTAAATGAAAGGTAGATATCTAACGTTTTAGTTTAAAAAAAAATTATGTTGATTTATTGTTTTTTCAAAAAGTTATGGAAGTTTTAAGAAAAAAAAGTGAAAAAAATTCGAAAATTAGCGATTTTTAAATTTGTAATTTTTTTGGATATTTCCCCCATTTGCGGGGAACGAGGGAATTTTTTTCAATTTTTAAGGGTAATGTCTTCAACTAGATACGATTTGTGATCTTTTGACGTATTTTTGAAAGAAATCGGTCCAGTGAGAGCTGAGAAAAAGTGGCAACAGACATAAAAAAAAAAAAAAAACATCATAGTAAAATTAATACCTTCTCCGCTTCGCATCGAAGCTAAAAATATTTTAACAATAATTAAATTATATTATTATAATATATTTTTTGATAATGTACTTTTTTACAATTAGGAAATTTTTTCCGATAATTACTCACTATTTGTAAAACGTATTGTTTCTGTTATTCATTTGTAGTTAATATAATAATGTAGTCTTAGATTAATTTAATACCACGCTAGGCGGTATCATTAATGACTCGTAATTTACTTAAAGTATTTAAAGCATTTATGTAACTGTTGTTTGCACTCCAAAATGATGGATCAATTTTCAAAAAAACACATCATAGTAAAACCAATACCTTCTCAGCTTCGCATCGAAGCTAAAAATCAGTGTTCAGATTAAATAGTTGTAAATTTGATGGTAACTTACTACCAGTAATTTCGTGGGAATAATTACGAATAAGATAAATATTAGTTCGTAATACTTTAAAGCCGCTAAAAGTATTGTACATTTGTGATTAAAACGTATCATTTTAATACATAATAATAAACAGATATATAATATATTTAACGTGTTCACAAATTGTCTGCTGCATTTATACGACACAAATTATGTCAGTTGTGAAAATAACTCAAATATACTTATCTTTAATAATAATATAATTGGTACTATCTTAAAGTAATTCAGTAAACCAAAATTGATATATTGATACGACAAAATGTAATAATACAATCAATTTTGTTAAATTTGTAATTAATCATTAATTAACTGTCCATAAAATAATAAATCTAATATAATTATCGTACTTGGCATAAAAAATTAAATTTCTAGAATCTTTTTTTAAACGAATATGCGTTTTCCAAAAAATAAAATGAAAATAAATAATAAATAATTAAAAATCAACAAAATCAGTTATAACGTATTTTAAGACTTTCACATGTTTTTTACTGTATGTAGTGTTTTTGTGGGCTATTTATTGAGAAAACAACATTGAAGTTATTATTTTTGAATTTCTTGTAAAATTTCCTTTACTTGAGTTTTACTTTTATTATTCTAAGTTAAGAGAAAAAAAAGTTATGAGACATAGATCAGTTATTTCTATTAAATTTGACTCTTCGACTCAACTTAATAGGCCCGGGGGCACGGGTTAACCTTAACGGATCGGTCCCAAATTTTGCACAGCTCATTTTTTTGACCATTAAAAAAAAATTAAGGGGTAGCGTAAAAAAAAAAAAGACATTCGATTTTTGAGGGCCACCCTAATACACACAGTTTAAACAATATTATACTGTTTCGCTTTCGAGTTTGAAATTAAAATGTTTAACTAATTATTTATTTCTTAAAATGATTTGATTTTCTCTATAGTTGTGCAGTGGATGGATCGACCACCTAGATGTCGGGAGTTTTTAATAATTATTTTTCTATTTCAAATTATCTTTACAACTCACCGCTGATTTTGTTATTGATTTAAATTTTATAAAAGCAAAATTTAACTTAACGTTTAAAAAAAATATCTAAAATTTTAAGATTTTATATTATTTTTATACTATTATATTTATATAATTTTTTATATTATTTTATGAGAAAATAATCTCAATCATACATTTTTTACAGATAAGATATAAGATAAGTGTCAAAGATATATCTTTGACACTTCTTCATTGTCTTGGAATGAAGGGTCGTGTGTGCATGTAACTGTATAGTGATTTTACAACAAGCTTATTATTCAGGGGTTAATATATCAATAACGCCATTCACTCGAAATGTGATATACATTGCTCAAGCAAATTGTTTCTTTATAGAGGTGCTGGACTTTTGATGTACTATTTAATTTGGTGTAAATCTATTGATAGGAATCATAAATTTTCGTGTGTTCAAGGGGGGGAAGTAATAAAAATTATAACGAACCGTTTCATTGTATTACGTTTAATAATTGTATTTATTCAATTTTTTTATCATAATTTTACAAAAAAAAGACTATAATCGTGTTATTTGCCGAGTCTCGTTCTAAGCAGATGTCTTACTCGTATCTGAACATAAGGAATATAATACATAATGTTGCCAGTGTTCTCCCGCAACAAGATCATAGACCTGTGCTGTGANAGGAATATAATACATAATGTTGCCAGTGTTCTCCCGCAACAAGATCATAGACCTGGACAGGTCAGAAATCAGGTAGAAGAGTATCGATACTCGAGTTCGGTATGGAATCTTGCCGTTTATGCGTACAAAATGATTTAAACGTCAGTGTCGAGTGTTTTGCGGTTAAGATCAGCTGTCGATCACATATGTCAGTTGTACTACTGGTGAAGCTGCTGGATTTTAAAGAGATAAAAGAGTAGTCAAACCAACAACGTCGAGTTCGTCTAGTCGTGGGCTATACTTATTATATTATTGTTATATGGGTATAATTATTTAATTTTTCACCAGGCGTTCTTATAAAAAAGAAACTTGGTGTTTTTCTTTTACCACCCTCCTTTTTGGCTAATATTATTAGATAAACACATTATAAAAGGGACACGCGTATATATGTCGTTTGTTATACGTGCATCTATGTTGGTAGCGTTACTGATGCTGCCACTTGACGGGTGATATTTTCTAAATAAAATAGCTTTTATGTCATTTATTATCAGATCTTTGAGCGTATGAATATGTGGATGCGCATTTCTAAGAAGTAACACGTTAGCACAACATACTTTACCCTTACCCTTGTTTATCAAAACCAATTCATTTAGATTGGTAATTTTTATTATTGTTACTTATAGAAGTATCAACATTACAATGTGACATCTTGTATACTAATAAATAATTATTATAGAGGTTTAGTAATTTGGATTACTATATTTTTACTTCAAATGGAAATTCCACGTATACGAGTATTATTTATTATGGCAACATTATTCAAGCAAGACAGCTTGAATATCTAAAAGCAGGTAATATCCAAGTTAGATGAGAACTATTTGAATTGAAAAGACAACTTGCTGAATTAAATTAATTTAGGTTAAGCAGTATATGAGTTAAAACACCGATGAATTTAGCAATGGAAAATTACAATATATAAACGATAACTGATGAAGTTCATAAATTTTATTTTAAAACATACCATATTTTATTATAAAACTGTTAATAATATTTTTATTAAATTATTTACGCACAATTGACATGTCTCAATTTGACTTTTAAATGAAAATTTATATAAAATATAATAAATAGTTAGAAAAATATTAGGTAAAATAATTTAAAAATATTTTGGAGGATCCTTAAAAAAATGTTTAATTTAATTAAGTACTTCAAAATTTTTTTAAAATGCGCGTACGTATGTTTTTGCACTATCGCATCATTAATTAACCAAATAAAAAGTCCTGAGAGGAAACATGCCCCCCTCCTTTGCGAATGTTTATGAAATTAGACTTGCAATTTGAATGTTTTATATTGCATTTAGGTCGATTAAGTAGGAAGTAAAAATATTACAAGCAATTCCTCATAAAACCAACATAGTTTTTAAACGCATATTGGTCTATTGCCAGAAATCTAAAAAAAAAAATTGGTGAAAAGAGAAATGAGTAGGCATTAGTATACCAGTATAACTGTACATATCAGTTAGTTACAGCTACGGTATACTGTTCTAAAATTATCTGTTTATTAGATTTTAATATTAAACAATACTGGAGTAATAATATTAAGTAATATAATAATGTAATGTTCAATTATTCTGTTAATACGCAAAGTTATGATTGTTTTTTACGCGTTGTTATCGTTATCATTAATAATGATCTCCATCGGCCAAATAGAGCTTACTGCATTAATTAACAATGAATCTCCTGTTGTCCATAAGAACACTGTTAAAACTGGTAAGTTCGAACTTTTAATAATTAGAAATTCGTGGTATTTTTGTAAAAAGCCTCTGATGAAATTACTGTTGTATTTTTTATTTATATATATAATCTTTGTAATTATATCATCACTAATTTTCAGTGGCAGTTTTCCATGAAAATGAAGATCCAACTAATCGATTGGCATATATCGTTAGTGCCAAGACAATAAACATTATGGATACAATTTTGCCGAGGACTAATATCTTACCTACTTCGCAACATGTTATGTATGATATGTATAATGTAACTCAAGCTGGTAAGTGATATAATAATATAGTTAGATTCATGTCTACTTAAAAGCAAATCTAAATTATTAGATTTTTAGTTAATAGATTTGTTTTTAAAATTAGATTTTAAATGAGATCTAAAAACCGAATGTAAAAAATGCAGTGTAGTTGACGTTCTTAGTAATAATTTTTTATCTACATTTTATTAATTACTTTAATTTAAAAGAAATAATTTCTAATAAATTATCTGGAATTTAGATAGATCAAGCTTAACTTTAAAAAAGTGTATAACTAATTATATAAATTGTAAAAATACAATATATTAATACGTATTAAAAAAAAAACAAACATTGTAAAAATAATCATAAATAACATTTTAAAATGTTTTAGAACTAACTGACTAAGTTTTTAACTTTTGATCCAATTATCATTGTAAGATATTTAGATTCGCGTTGGGATTAGGTTTTTATAAAGAATTATTTTGAGGTACCGGTTTGTTTCGGGTTCTTTCCATTTTTAAAATATAAGTTCCGGTTCTTGAGAAGAAAAGTTATAGTCCTAATTAATAAAAATTTATTTAATCATAAGACAGAAGCTTATGTATTGATGTTAATATAAAAAAATTAGAAAAAAAGAAATTCTTTTTACTTACCCTTTAAATTTTCTCTTTAAATTTATTTTCATCATAGGGGTGTTCTATATTCTATATATCTCCATAAAAATGCTCACATTCTCGGTGTTTTACGCAGGGAATCTTTAAGTGTAAGATGAGGGAAAGGCTAAGCTTCTCAAAAATTTATAAAAGAATCTGTACTACTATTTAAAAATATTTTTAAGGAGGGGAGAAAAAGGATTCTATCTTATACTTTTGAAAAGAAAGAATCTACAATCAAACAAAAAAAAATACAAAATTAAAGTATTTTTTTTATTATGTAGGGATAACAAAAAATGTACTAGTACAATAAATTATTGATATAAGTCATTAGACGAACCATTAAAATACCTTTATTTTTAAACGTTTTGACTCGGTTTCGGTACTGATTTTTCTGAAAATAAATATTTCTATTCTGGTTTAATTTCTAAAAAATTAAGAACCAGTTTTTTAAGTTCTGTTTCCAGTCCTTGTTACAAATAAAATATGAGATTACAGAAATAATCTTTTTTTTAAATATCTATTGTATATTTTTTTATCTAAAATGTTTAAGATGTTTTAGAAATTAAAATCCGGTATTGATACATATTTTTTCTTGCAGTTTGTGATTCAATGTCATTTGGTATTGCTTCTTTCATTGGAGGTACTTATGAAGAAAATACCGAAAATGTTATTAGATCAATAAGTTCACGTGCTCAAATTCCATTTATTGAAACTCATTGGAAGACATCTCCACGACCTCCAGACGCATTTACCATCAGCCTTTTTCCAGAACCTTTACTCTTAGCAAAAGTAAAATTAAAAAATACTGAAAACATGTTATAGTAATTCAAAAAAAAGAAATATAATATATAATTGATGATAAAAATGATTTATTAAAATCGGTCTTGTATGAGAATGAAAATAATTGAGTTACTATAATATTAGCTTCGATGCGAAGCTGAGAAGGTATTGGTTTTACTATGATGTGTTTTTTTTTTGTGTCTGTTACCACATTATCTTAGCTCTTACCGAACCGATTTCTTTCAATGATACGTCAAAAGATCACAAATCGTATCTAGTCGAAGACATTACCCTCAAAAATTGAAAATATTTTCCTCGTTCCCCGTAAATAGGGGAAACCTCCAAAAAAATTTCAAATTTAAAAATCGCTAATTTTCAAAATTTTATCAATTTTTTCCCTTAAAATGGCTACCAAATGCTATTTTTGTGTGAAAATTCTCGATTTTATATTTTAAATTTTTTATTTTAAAATGCTATAACTTAAGTAAAATTAAAACTATATTAAAAATATTATTAATTTAAAAAAAATAAAAAATATTAAAAATATTAAACTCAAAAGCCACAAAAAAATTAATGAAAAGTCGCGGATACGTATTTCGGAAACAATGTTACCATTATCAACGCTAAACACATACTGAAGTAATATTTATATCCCTTTTTTATTCGACATACTTTATCTTAATCAGGGTAGTAATAAGGAATTAGCAGATCATGTAGCTTTTGGAATAAACCGTCATTTTTTTAAAATTAAGCACTAACTAAAGATTTGCATTGAAGCGTTTTTTTTTTTATAGAGATTAAAATCACTGTCAGATATCATTATACTTGATCCAACTATGGCACGTCACCACTGTGCCACGACCCCCCTGTGCCACGACCCCCCTGTGCTGGGTTTTTATTGAATAAAATGATATACTATAATTTTCTCTCGCGATATGAGTACGAGGGTTTATGAGAAGATATAAAATATAATAAAAGCAAAGTGATGTTTAATAATTTATCAATTTAATAATAATTTGAAATAGAAATTATTGTGATTAATTATCGTACATAGATTATCATGATTGACTACACAGGTAACCCACTCAAAGATTGGACTAGACTGGCTAACTTCGTACGTTATTGATTCTCTTATTTATTTAGACAATATTTTACTCTAGAGATTACTTTATTTTTCTGGTTCCCCCTACTTAATTTATGTACTCATTATGGTTAAAATGAAATCTTATAAATCTTCTGTGAAATATGAATTTACTTTAATGATGTCAGGAATAAGGTTGGAAAAATGAATATACTTCAATTTTCTATGTAAAATCGTATTTTGTCAAGTCACTTCTTGCATTCGTTGAAAGCTCATAAGGTGAAGTAGTAGTGAGAGAGATTGACAGTCTTTTATATTAAATTTAATTCATCTAACTATGCAAGAAGTGTCACGACCTTTTACTATTATCTGTGTATTACTCAATTGTATTATTTATTACATATTATTTTACTTAAAATAGATAATTTGTCACAACTAAAGAATTTCTTATAGTTATTACATTAGATTTGTATCAATGTATTTTTAGACATATTTCTCGGAATAGTTTAAAGTATTGACATGAATAATATATTTTCTAATTTGATGACTAATAGACAATAATATATAGGCCACTGAATAATGAGTGGTGTATGTATTATAACAATGTAATTAAATTTGTTGATTTATGCTTGATTAATAATAGGCCATTAAGGACATCATAGAAGACATGGATTGGTCATCATTTACTATTATCTATGATCGGCCTGAAAAATTAATTCAATTGAAAGCATTATTGGAATCAAATGAATATGGTCGAACTTCTTCTTCGAATGCTATAAAAGTAAAACAAATGAAGTCTACAGAAGACTTTCGGTAAAATAGTCATGAAATAAATGATTCAGTATAAATGTTGAACTTATCTAAAATATTATCTCCTAAGGCCATTATTTAAAGAGCTAAAAGAGTTTGGCGAAAAACACATTGTGTTAGATATTGATGATGATTTCATTATCTCTGTTTTGAAACAAGCCAAAGAAGTAGAGTTTATGGGAGATTACCAAAGCTACGTTATAACAAATATGGTATGTATACTAATTATATTATTTGAAAAATTATATTTCTAGTTTCTCTAATAAATGATTGAATTTAACTACATATACAATTTCAAAATTATATTTATTTAGCAGTTTTATTTGTAAAACATAAAATTGTAAAACAATTTTAAAACTGATTACTATAAAAAAAGATCTTATGAATCTTCTGTGAACTGTTTTTAGTAAACAAACACTACTTCTAATGTGTATAATTAAATGAATTGTATATAATTTATTAAACGTTATTAATTTTATTGATAACAAAAATAAAATAGTGTGAACAATAATAATTATGAAAAATTTATTATGTATTCTAAAAAGTAATATATACAGGGTATTTGGTTTTTTTATGTCATTGCTGTCACAGTCACGGATTGTTTATTATCAATTATGATTATCATTAGATATACTTTCTGTATTGTCAGTTAGTGTATTTATAAACTCATAACAATGTGCCTTACTACAACTGATAATAACAATGCTGTGTACCTGCTAATATCGATGTTATAAAAAACCAATTAGCTATGATAATAAACAATCCGTGACTGAGACAGCAATGTCATAAAAATTCAATTAGCTACCTGTATTTACAATCCCATGTGTATTATACATGTATATTAACTCAAAATTTTGAAACTTTAAATGTTTATATCTAATAAGCTAATAAAGTTATATTAAAAATTCAAATGCCATTTACTATTAAATTAAAAACTCAAACATTTTATTAAATTAAAAATATGTGTTACCATTTAAAAAAACAAAGTTGACCCCCCTCCAAGGCATAAGGGATGAACTTAAAAATTATTACATAGTTAAAAATTCAAGAATAATGTGTAACTAAAAATAATAAAAAAAAAAATGTTTAAATTATTATTATTCTGCAAGTAATTGAGTGGGTTATGATAAAAAAATCACCCTGTATAAGAAAATAACTGAGTTATAAGGAATGAATTAATAAAAATTAATAATTATTATATCAAGAAGTATATAAAAAACACAAAAATAATTTTTTAATATGATTAATTACCATATTTTTGTATAAATCAGGAAAAAACAATTTTTTTTTCAAATATTTTTCTCAACATTTTCGGTCGTCTTGTTCTAGTAATGGAAATAATTTTTGTACACACAGAATATTATATTAAATAAAAATTCAATTAACATTAAGCGTAATTAATTTAGGACGCGCACACATTAAATTTTGAAGATTTTCGTCACGTCAAATCGAACATTACATTAATTCGAATGATTGATCCGGAAAATCCTCTAGTTACAAATGCTGTTAACGAGATGATTTTTAATGAACAACGAAAAGGGCGATCAATAGCTTTGACACCACAGACAATTAAGGTATATTAATTTATTTCAACGTGCGTTATACATCAAAATGTATTTATAGTATTTTTAGATCTCTATTTCTATATCCAGTTTCTTATAGTAATATTATATTTGCTAAAAAAAAGTAATTTTTTCTATGATATTTCCCTCAAATTATTCTACCTAGGATCCAACAAGTTGAAAAGTAATTTGGATAATTTCTCCTTAATATAAGTTAGTTACATTTAAAATAAATTACTCTTTTACATAGATGTTAACATATTTTAGACACAAACAGCATTGATTTATGATGCTGTACATTTTTTTGCCACCTCTTTACATGGTTTAGTATCCACACAGTCTATGAAATCTCAACAAATATTTTGTAAAGATATGAAGCCTTGGATATATGGTTTTAGTTTGATACATTATATGCGTGTAGTAAGTTTTAAATTATTCTATAAAACTCTAATAATGGGTTTAATTCTCAATTTGTTTATATACATTTAAATTTGTTAAATTATATCGATTAAAATTTTTAAAATGTAGATAGAACTAGAAGGTCTGACTGGAAAAATGAGATTTGATAACATCACTGGTAATAGAATTTACTTTAAACTGGATGTTATCAAAATAAATGACTTAGGGTTTCAACATTTGGGATCATGGGATCCTGATCAAGGTATGTCATATACTAGATCGGCCTCTGAAGTCTATTCAGAGTTTGCACAGTCCATAAGTAACAAGACTTTTGTAGTAGTTGGTAAAATCGTGAGTATTTGTCATAACACTATTTATAAAAAGTAAATTCATTAATACATTATCAATAGGGAGATCCATATTTGATGAGATGTAATGGAACAAAAATGAATGAACTAGATGTAAGTGATGAGTGTTTTCATGGATTTGCTTACGAATTGATTGCAGAAATAGCTATTTACAATAAATTCAAATTTAAATTTGTTCCTAATCCCGAATTAGGAAAATTACAAAGTTCTGGTAAATGGAATGGAATAATTGGAGATTTACAATCTATGGTAATATTTCACTTAGATATTAATATACTTAAAATATTTGGTTTTATTGTTAAATATTTTATTTGGATTTAAAAATAGTCCTTGGTCAAATTATTCTTCTTGGTCTATTTTAAAAATAATCTTTTTAACTCAAGACTTTTAAAAATTGTATCTAATAATTTTTCAATATATAATATTTCAAAAAAATTTGATTCAAATTTTTTTAAATATTCTTTGCAGAAAGCAGATTTAGCTATATGTGATTTGACAATTAACTTTGATCGAAGATCAGTGGTAGATTTTACTACACCATTTATGACTTTGGGTATAAGTATACTTTATGCAAAACCCGATAAGAAAAAGCCTCAACTTTTCTGGTTTCTTAACCCGTTGTCTTTTAACGTCTGGATATACACAGCCACAGCTTATTTAGGCGTTTCCTTAATTCTATTTATATTGGCCAGGTAAACATCAAAAAGGTAATGATGATCACAAAGACGCGGCCTCGTCGAATAGATAATAAAAACATTTTGTTCAATTAAAAACCAATACAGTCATAGTTCGCCGTAATTTCCTTAAGTATTCGTGCGGCCTTTATCAACACACAAAAGGTTTTCATTATTTATTATAATTTGTTTGATAGACGTTTTATTAGTATAACGTTTGATTTTTTTCTTTAACATTCGAAAATTTCACTATTCCAGATAAATTAGAAGAAAAATAAAAAATAATGCCATTGGTATTTATTAATTTACATTCAGTAGTCACAACTATTCATGAATAAATAATTCCATACTTAAGATACATTTTTTTTAGGAGTAGGATAATATAATAGAAATTTTTCTAAATCTATCAGGGAAAATTGAATGACTTTTTATTAAGATAAAAACTTGATGCAATTTAAAGGCGATACCATACATACAAAGTTGATCAAGCTGCTAAAAAAAAAATGAATTAGTTTGAAGATCTCAAATGTTTTCCAGGGAGGTAAAACATAAAAAATTCTTAATATTCACTCCGGAATATTATCAAAATTTAATACTATAATAAAAAGCATTACAGTTATATTGAGATTTTTAACCTCTTCATAATATAATATATAGTACATCGTTCTATTAGTGCAAAATAGTCCATGTATTGAAATTTATAATATCTAAAATTGTTGTGTAATTACAGTTTATTATTCTCTATAATAATGTGTAAGAAAGCCAATGAAATTTAACTTAAACTTAATATGAATACTAAAAATCAAAGTAACATATAATGTAATTCTCAAAAAAGTCGGATTTAAAAATATGATGCTCAGAGCCTTTACCATGGTACAATTGTTTTTTTTCATATAGAACAACAAAAATAACTTCAAATATATATATATATTTGCGAAGTTTGTTATGTTACTGGTTTTTTTTTGTAATGACAATTAAAAAATAAAGTGGGGTTAACAATTTATATATGGAAGTCATCCTACATCCGATTTCTGGGATTAATATTTTTAAGTCATTCAAATCAAAAATTTTTTTCAAATGATAGTGTGACATAAACGTTATAAAATAATACATTTATCTTAATATTTTTATTCCTTTTTTAATCTAATTTGACTGGGATAGTAACTTAAAGATAGGTTCGATAAAGTTTTGTAGATAACTAACATGGGTGTTATAGTAATTTGTGTATATAATAATTAGTAACTATTATATATTATCACTAAATGTTCGGCCATCCCGTGATTATCATGTTGGAAAAGCACAAATTTAGACCCATAGACACGAAACGGTTTTTCAGAATAACACCATCTGAATGGGACGGCCCGCCACCAAACAAACAAGATGACGATACGTTGGAAAATTCTATGTCACTAGTCAACTGTCTACTATTCGCAATCGGTTCAGTGTTATGCGCTGGAAGCGAAATCTTACCCAAGTGAGCCTAACCGACGTAGTCCATTTGAAGTGTAACCTTACCACTGATATGATATGCATGTCCATCAGCTTTTTATGTATTTTAGCTTTAGTTTTAAGTTTGCTTTACCTTTATTTATCGCTATGAGACATGCATGTGTTGTTTCTCCATAGTATATTAAACGTATCGTAGATACCCATTGATGCTTTTAAAAAGTGAGTTAAATTTCATAAAATATAATGATAATTTTTACAATTTAACATGCTCATTTTATGATACCCTGGCGACTATGACGCGATGAAGACAAATAAGATCAGAGGCCGTGTGTGACCATAATAAGACATCACACCTTATACCAATTTAATATAATAAGTCCGCTCGTGTTCGTTTCAATGTCACTTGAATTAATTGTTTGCAGAATTACACCAAATGAATGGCATAATCCGCAACCGTGGAAAAACGGTAACGGTGAGCTTGAGACTAAGCTTAACGTGGCTAATCTGATATGGTTCAGTTGCGGGACCATGTTGCAACAAGGTTCCGATATATCACCTCAGTAAGCGAATAAATCATTAAAACTCAAAATAATACACACACCTTCAATAATCGCGCAGACTTGTTTATTATACTTAATACGCCATGATGCAAAATACATAAGCTGGTTATACACGAAGTTTTGTGTGATTTCTAAAAACACCCCTCAAAAATTCAACTGATGATAGAATTTTTTAATTGAAAATGACAATTCTACTGAGGTTCAAACGCCCAATTACCATGCGGCAGGACCACTTCGTGTGAACAGTCCTATCAAATCTTGTTGATGTTTAACTTGGTTTTGATAGATGCGACGACCACGCAAATATTGAACATACGTGATCTTGGCGGACAACGGCTAGCATATGTGATGCAGTGTCTCTGGTGTGTTCTGTGGTATAAAAACACATGAGTTTAAAACGCGGTTTTGTCCGCGATCGTCTGCGTCTTAACCGCTTCGTGTGTAACCAGCTATAACGGATTTAAGTATAATATTCACGATGGGTTCGAAACGTAACAAAATCGATGATGATTTAACTAACAAAAACCAATTTATTTACCCTATTATTTTTTTTCGTTGGATTGATTTGATATATTCACGTTTTATAATTGATCAGCCTAGGTAATCCATAATGTCTCATTTAGATTTAAAATAATTAGCATTATAATGAAGGAGTAGAATACTAACTATTCCTATCTTTGTCCTATATAAATTCAATCTTTTATCTCAAATTATTATTGTTTATGCTAGTTAGATTCAAGACTAAGAATCGAGACTTATATGAGTTTCGTAAGTTTAAAAAACCTACGTATATAAAAAAAATTTAAACTCAATTTTTCAAAATGTTCCGGAATATCCGACAACTTTTAACCTATGTTAAATCAAAGCTCTAAAAATGTACTACAATATTAATAAAAAAATTTATCTATACAAATCTTTTACTATGAAAAATCGGCAATCAAAGAAAAAAACTCTATTTTCAATTAAGCAAATAATTGAACAAGTAATTAATACTTGAGTAAAATTCTAAAACAAAAAAATTGTAAAATTTGAAATGTACAAACAATTGTTAAGTATAAAGCGTTTTTTATAATAGTAATATTAATCAATATTAGATATTATTTATACTTGTTCCAACTATACCCCCACCCCGTTATCTTAGTTTTTTTTCAACTATCAAAACAAAAATAAATTTCAAGACTTAAGAACCTATTTATTTAAAATTAAATTTATAATATATTAATGTATATGATTATATATATATATATATATATATATATACAACGTTTCAGTAAGTAAGGAAACAGATCAGTTGTTACAAACAATAAGAATAGAAACCAGTTTCTTTACTTACTGATCAGTAGTCTTTAAATTTTATTGATAAAATATATGTCTTTATATATGCCCCAAGTGTGACTTTAATAAATCTATTTTACAAAAAAATAAAAATTATTTTTATTTTAAAATGTATTTAAAAACCGTTTTAAGCCAAATTAACTAAATCAGAAACCAAATCGAAATATCATTAATTAAAAAATCGAAACCTAAATAATTAAAAAAAGTAATACTGAAACCCTATTGTAACCCAAAAATCATCTCGTTTCAAGTCCTAGTTTGTTTTATACGCTATAAATAAGTGCAATCAAACTCAACCTAACCAACTTTTTGAAGTGTGATCTCACAAAAAATCCTAAAAATTAAGTTAGAGTTTGTCCCATATTACTATATCTTTACATTGTACAATATTTTAATTAATATAAATAATTAGACTTGAAATATTTCGTGTAAAAGTCCCGAGTATAATTTTGATTTCTATATTAATTAATAATGTCTAATATAGAAAAAATAATATTTTTCTATGATACAAAACGATTTTGTTACGTATTAGCTGTTAATAATTTATAATAGTAGTCATAGGCGTGATTAGAAAAATGTTTTTAAGTATTTTATTACTTTTTAAGTAATTTAGATATAAAATTATAATGATTTTGAAGTTTGTAAAGCAGGTTAACCCACCCGACCACTTCACCTAATTACGCCTGTGATGGTTATCAGTCTTGTAAAATATTTGAATGAATGTAGGGAATAAAACTATTTTAATACTTCTTTGTATTTTTACGGTATTTTGAAAAAAAAAAATTCGTATTCAAATACGTATTATTCCGAGTACTTTTTTATTCTTTGTATTTTTATTTTATGTTTAAATACTTTAATCACCGTTAACTATAACCTACCAGATACCAATTAAACCAAATTAAAATTAAATTGTTGAAGATTTGTTATTATTTCTCGTGAACATATAATTGCTTTATCATTTATCAGTATTTGGGAATATATTTTTTAAAAACGCCAGTATGTCAAATATATTACTTAATCTTTTAAATTTCATTATTTTTAAATCTATTGTATTTTAACTTCGATGCGAAGCTGAGAAGGTATTGGTTTTACTAAGATGTTTTTTTTTTTTGTGTCTGTTACCACTTTTTATCAGCTCTTACCGAACGGATTTCTTTCAACGATACGTCAAAAGATCACAAATCGTATCTATTTGAAGATATTAACCTCAAAAATTGAAAAAATTTCTCTCGTTCCCCGTAAATGGGGGAAAACTCCAAAAAAATTACAAATTTAAAAATCGCAAATTTTCGAAATTTTTTCAATTTTTTTTACTTAAAATGGCTACCAAATGCTATTTTTGTGTGAAAATTCTCGATTTTGTATTTTATTTTATTTTAAAATACCTTAAAAAAGGTATTAATTCTCATTAGATTTTTAACTCATTTAGATTCAATAACTTCAATGAATATTAATGACCCCATCATTATAGTTTCCCCTCGTTTGATGAAATTTCTTATTCATATTAAAACTATTGTACTATGTGATTTTTGTTTTTTTTTGGCTCTCATTTATTTTCTCAGCTATTATTTGACAAACTTTTTTTAACGATACATCAAATGATGTATCAATTAATTGAAGATATTACCCTCAAATTTGAAAAAAAATTCTAATTTATCAATGAAACAGTTACTTATCCCATTTTCTCCATACAGACAATTAAAATCATTCATTTCTAATGTTTTGAAAGTATTAATTAATGAATCAAGTTTGAAATGATAGGTTTTCAACTACAAAATTAAATAATTTTACTTTGTAATTTCATAATACATTTACTCTATTTTTGTACTCTAGATTATAATATTCCAAATTTTTTCGTAACAAGTTGCTATATAACTCATTTCTAAAAAAAAATGATTGTTAGTTTCTCCTGAATTAATAATGGATTTTTACAATTATAATCAAATTTTATAATACGCTTAATTGAGTAAATTTTTTTAACAACTTTGTTTTAATTGATTCTTTTAGTTAAAGTAAATCATTAAAATTAATTAACTTCTAAATATTTCAATTGTAGAATCTTTTTAAACACCAAAAGTTACTATGAAATGATTACTATTATTTTTATTTCAGTTATCTATAACGTTAAAAATGCAAACAAATATTGAGCTTTTCTGATAAATTTACTATAAATAGTAATTATAAAACTTCCTAACTGCATATTAATCTTAACAATACAATTTTTTTAATTCTCATTAAATTTTCTATTTAATGATGTCAATTTCAAACTTGCCAATTGAGTTAAAAGTTATGGTAAATTAAATTAATTTTTTTTTTATTATATACATTTACAAAAATCAACTTGGAAGGATTAAAAAAATAGGTTAAATATGTAATTTTCCTTATTTTTAACATATTAATAATCAAAATCAGTATTAATGTAAAACAATTTTTTTTTGTTCTTAATAATATTTTTTATATGAAAATACTTTTTTTTTAATAATTAGTAATAATATTAAAACTTAGAAGTGATAGAAAAAGTCTAATTGCACATTTGAAAACATCACGAAAAGTTGATTTAGAAAAGTATATTTTTCTGATGAAAGTTCCTTGTAGTCTAGTGTATTTATTCATAAGTAATAAAATTTTTTTATTAAAAAGTATTGTATCAATCCCTTTAAATTTTTGTACGCGTTAAAAGTATATGAATATACAACTCCTTTTTATTTTAATATTATATTATTGAATATATATATATAATATAATACTAAATTTAATTACTATAATTATTATGTATTCATATATTATAATTATTAATCGGGATAAAATTAAGGGAATAAGAGTTATGGTTGCTTTTGAAATAATCTACCAATTTCTTAAATTTAAACACTTTCTACAGATTTGCATCGAAGCGTTTCCTATGATAGTGATTTTAATCACTGTCAGATATCATCTATACTTGTCCCAACTATGTCACGTCCATACTGTGCCGCGACCCCTCTGTGCTACCGTGTTTTAATGTTCTCTTTAATTTTTGTAATTTTTTGACATAAAATATATTAATACTACATCCATTTTAGTTTCCTTTTTCTTTTATTTCATTAAAATATATCTAGCACAGAACTGTCTGGTACTCTATTGGTCTGGTATTGCCCCAGATTGTCGTTACAACCAGTATAATACATAGATTTAATTTATTTATTATAAATATAGTTAAGTTTATTTATACTTATTAGCTTCGATACGAATTTTTTATTTGATAACTGTAATAATTATTTTGTATTAAATAAACTATTTTATTTAAATATTCTCGAAGTATTTGACTAATTTTATAAGTATTCAAAAATTTATTTTGAATATATATTTTTATTAACATTTGAATACTTATTCTGAATACAAAAAAAAAGTATATTTTACAAGACTGATAGTTATGCATGTTTTTTCAATGTATACATGATAATTTAAACTTGGGTGTAATTAGGAATAAAATGTTTAGATGCCATATATATCTTTACCACTTTAATTGAATTGAGTTTTTGTAATACAAAAAATTTTAGCTGTAACAGTATATTTCTCATATACCTGACTTAATAATTTCCAAATGTTCAGTAAAATGGCGTGATTAAAACAACTATATTTACTTTTAAATAAGTTAGTTAAAATATTGTAGATGGATTAGTTTATAAAATTTCTCAATTCTATATCTGAATTTATTTTGTGTATGAGTTAATTGCACACGTCATTGTTTTGCCAAAGCGTTAAAGATGTATGAAATATATATTTTTTTCCTTACAAAAGTATAAGCATTTTTATCTTTTGTTACCTAAGCCAACAAAACATTAAAAAATTAAATGTTATTTTCCCACCTTATTTTTTAAAACTGTATCAAATCAAAATTTTGGAAGATTTCTGAATAGTTCTTGATATTATAGATCTGATATTATCATAACCGCATTTAAAATTATTTCTATAAATTTGATGAACATTCTTTTTTCAAAAATCATAAAGTACACAGTTATACATACATTTATTTAGAATAAAACTACATATAGAATGCTAGTTATACTTTCTATAACTTTTTACCTTACAAAGAGCCTTGTTTTAGATGGTATTTACGCCTATTACTATTAAATAAAATGAATAACATGTATAAAAATAATAATACATTAACAGTTACTTAAAATTAGTCTACATTTCTGAATTATAAAATTAAGGTATCAGCGTTTTAGTAAGTATCTAATATTATTAATCCATTAAATAATCAATTATACCTGGAAGTGGTTCTACAGGTTGTGATATACCAACAAAAAGTGCTGACTCAAAAAATTTGTCTATAGTCGGCAAATATACCGTATATTTTTAGTTTTTTGAAAGGAAGAACAAAAAAAAAGTTGTAATTTGGTAAATTTCTCATAAAAAAATAAGAGATAATTAAAAAAAATATCTCCACTTTATATGTTCATCATCTACCAAATAATGAGTCAGCAGTTTTGTAATCAATAACACAAAAAAAATAAGTTTTTCATTTATGACAGTTTTCAATTATTTATTATGTGAGCCAAAATAAATTAAAACGCTTATATTACTAGAGCGGTGTCCACAAGACTGGTAGCGAGCATGTGGTGGTTTTTTGCATTGATTATGACTTCATCATATACAGCTAATTTAGCAGCTTCTATAACAAGTGGTCGTTTAGATACACCAATAAAGAATGTGGACGATCTGTCAAAGGATCCGGATATCGAGTATGGGTGTTTCAAAGATGGATCCACTGCTAGGTTTTTTCAGGTATAAAAAAAATAATTTTAATAGTTAAGTTTTTTTATTAATATTAGCTTCGATGCGAAGCTGAGAAGGTATTGGTTTTACTATGATGTGTTTTTTTTTTTTTTGTCTATTACCACTTTTTCACAGCTCTCACCGAACNTTTTTTTTTTGTGTCTGTTACCACTTTTTCTCAGCTCTCACCGAACCGATTTCTTTCAACGATACGTCAAAAGATCACAAATCGTATCTAGTCGAAGACATTACCCTTAAAAATTGAAAAAAATTCCCCCGTTCCCGTAAATGGGGGAAACCTCCAAAAAAATTACAAATTTAAAAATCTCAAATTTTTTCAATTTTTTCAATTTTTTTTACTAAAATGTGCCGTAACTTTTTCAAAAATGAACAAATTAAAATAACTTTTTTTTACAGATGCTTGATGTCTTTATTTATCATTTGGTTTATTTTTTTTATAAATCTGACCCTTTATCTGCCCACGGGGGGGATTTAAAAGGACAACTTTTTCACAAAAAATTAACTTTTTTAACTTAACTTTTGAAAGTGTTCCGGAAGGTCTGACACTTTTATATATATCTTAAATTAAAGCTAATGTAATGTACTTTAATTTGAAAAAAAAAAATTTGACCTCTGGACTTGTCTTCACGGCGAAAATCGCTTCCGAATGCTATTTTCGTGTGAAAATTCTCGATTTTATTTTTTACATTTTTAACTTTATAATGCTATAACTTATTGAAAAGTGTATGGATCCACACAATTTTTTTCTGAGAAATACTATTTTTTAATAATCCCTTTTTCATTCGACATACTTTATCTTAATCAGGATATTAATAAGGAACTAGCAGTTTATGAAGCTTTTGGAATAATCCACCAATTTTTTAAAATTAAACACTATCTAAAGATTTGCATCGAAGCGTTTTTTTTGATATTGATTTTAATCACTGTCAGATATCATTATACTTGATCCAACTATGCCATGTCACCACTGTGCCGCGACCCCCCTGTGCTGAGTTTTTTAAAATCAAACTTTACAGATTTGCATAGAAGCGTTTCTTATTATAGTGATTTTAATCACTGTCAGATATCATCTAAACTTGTCCCAACTATTCTACGTGCATACTATACCACAAAAACACTGTACTACCGTTTTTTTTTTTAATTATTTAATTATAATTTTTAAATTATAAATTATAGAAACTACAAATTAATACTAATATTCTTACATTTTTAAATACTAAGTTTCACACAATTACTAATTTTATTACACCCTAATTAATAATTTTTTCTCTTCCTTAATTACTAATTATACTAATTTATTTATACCATAATTACTCATTTTAAACGCCCTGAATTACTAATTAAACACCATCTACAGATTTGTTTCGAAACGGTTCTTATGATTGTGATTATAATCACTGTCAGATATCACCTTAAATTGTCCCAACTATGCCACGACCCCACTGTGCTACAGTTTTTTTATACATATCCTACTCGTATGCTTAGCTTTAGATTAATATATCGCATATTTGGATAAATAACTTTTAAAATATTTATTAAACTACATTCCCATAAAAAAAAAATTAAAATTTTTATGTTCAAGTGATAAGAGCAAAATATTTTTAAAGGGCATCAATTTTTAATTTACACTCACTTAAAAGTAAACTCGACATTGCCTTTGATAAGCATAAATACTTATTAGTAGATCATGTATGTATACTTGTAAATTAATTTTTATACTTTTATTTTGTATTAATATATTATGTTGTTATTGTAGACATCTAATGTTAGTTTGTATCAAAGAATGTGGAGTGTAATGGAATCATCAGATCCTTCTGTATTTACCAATGGCAATCAAGAAGGAGTAGATCGCGTATTAAAAGGCAAAGGTCGTTATGCATTTTTAATGGAATCAGCTACTATTGAATATCAGACGGAACGTCATTGTAATCTAATGCAAGTCGGTAATACGTTGGACTCGAAGGGTTACGGTATCGCAATGCCTATCAGTATGTAATAAATTCTCAAAAAAATATTTTAATTCACTATAGGGAACCCTATCATAAATATATTTAATTGTAAAATTACATAATTGAAAAATTTTAAATATTTAGATTCGCCTTACCGGACGCTAATAAGTGAGTCAGTGTTAAGATTGCAAGAATTAGGATTTCTCAGAGACCTCAAAGATAAGTGGTGGTTAGTTAAAGGAGACAAAAAATGCGAGGTATTGAAAAACTAACGTAACATTACCTGTTTTATTTATCATTTTTACAAATAGGAAGAAGTAGAAAGCGACGAATTAGGATTTGCAAAAATTGGAGGAGTATTCGTAGTTCTTATTTTTGGTTGCCTGATTGCGTTTTTGTTTTCAATTTTGGAATTCTTGTGGAATATACGAAAAGTAGCATTAGAAGAACAGGTATTAAGTGTTTGAAAATATCCTCTCTTATTTTCACAATAGTATACTTAAATATTTAATTTCAGCTTACACCTAAAGAAGCATTTATTTTGGAATGGAAATTCGCTATTAAGTGCAATGGTGTGGTAAAACCGTTGAGGCGCCGTCATGCTCTATCCAAATATGATATAACCAACGCTGACGGTTATATAAATAACAAATCTTGATAATTTAATGTCGTAATTAATATTTTACACTTAATAATTAATGTTTATGACTTTCAGAAAAAGTTTAAAAACTTAAAGCAAAAAATTATTAAAATATAAAAAAATTATCTTTAATATATATTGTTGACATTTTTCAATGCATAAAACTATATTATCTCAATACTCAGCACTAACCTATTCTACTGCCCTATGCAAAAAGTGAAAAAGCAAGTTGGCTGCCCTGGATATTTTTAATTGACCTATTTCAGTTTATTTAAGAACTTTTCAATTTTTGCTAGTCACATCCCAATTACAGAAAAAGTTTAATTACATTTAAATGGCATTCATTATTTTTGGCTACCCTTGTTCTTTAAATACGGTCAGCGCAGTCCTGTTGTTTTTTATGTATTCGTTGTTTTGATTTCGATCTTGTTTTATTCCTTTAAAAAGAAATACTTCTTTTGGTTGTCCCTTAATATATGAATTCTTTTATATATATTCCACAAAAAAATAAATCCGAAAATTGTTTATTTATCACGTTATTCCCGTATAGGACAAGTATAATCTATAAGCTAATATGATAAATCCAAAATAATAAAATTACTAAGTATATTTTGGAATTTTCTTGGAAAATACTACACAAATTAAATACAAAAAAATATTTCAAAATATTTTTATAAATTTAAAATGTTACAAAAATATAATTTACAAGGTATATTATCTATAACATTTAATTTTGATTGCATACGACAGTAAAATCACAAAATTAATTTATTAATAAGGTACAATTAATTACAAAAATAAATACATAACTCTTGTATACATAGTATGTTCAATTACTAGATCACCTAGTATATTTATTAAATATTGAGCTTAATAGTTAAAAAAATAAATAATTATTGAGCACCATATTGATATAGCAATATAATTATTTGTTCTAGGCATTCCAAAAAATAAATTATGTTTCTTAAGTATAAATATTTAAAATTAAAAACTAAATCATGTACGCCAGTATATACTTGATTAAGTAAATACATGCATACATGTAATGGTAACTTTTACTATCAATACTGTGTTTGTATCCAAATAAACCATGAGTGATTGAATATATACAATAGATATTGAAAACCATTTGAAACTCAATCATTGAACATGTTTTTTTTTTTGTGTGTGAACAATTTAAAGTAAAAGGTTAAAGGAATTATGGTGCAAGAATGTCTTGGAAAAGTTGAAAACAACACTATTATACAAATCTTAAATATTAACAAAAAATATTAATAAAAAATAGTTATAAAAAGTAAAATTAATATTGAGTACAAAATTAAGGTAATTATAATAATAATAATAATAATAGTGGCTATCGATACTGACGACTAAAAATCGAAACAAAATTCTTTGAGTTTCGAAAAGAATTAACCAGATACCGATAGGTGAGTGGATGCTACCTTGGTGTAGATGACAGACTCAATATTGATGTTTTATTTTTTCTAGTTGGTTGTACTGACATTGGTGGTGAATGATATGAATGATTGGTTGACATTTCCTGAAAAAAATATTTATAAGCATAAATGAATTTCTGTATTAAACACATATTACCAAAAATCATATTTTATGTAATGATTAATTAAAGTGGCAAACATAAAATGATTAATTTAACTTAGTTCTATTCTATAATATATACAAAAGGTTACCAATGTTATTTTTGTAACATAGAGTAAATTAAAAAACTTGGCTCTTTTACATGAATTTATTTAATAATTAGGTTTTGTAAAATAAATACTTTTAAAATTTACACAAGCAATATAAGAAGCTGTTTAAGTATAAATAAGTCAGTCATTTTAATGTAGGTGAATCAGAATACATTTATTTACATTGATTTAATCAAGTATTCAGCTATTTAATTAATAAGTTAATGAGATATTATCATATTTTCATTAAAAATAAAATTACTGAAAAAATTATTACCTACAAATTTTTGCTTCATCAAGAAGTATCTTAGGCCTAGTTAAACTAAAAGTTAGAATTTAAATAATGATTTTTAACAGTATAATAAAGAATGTATCTTATTTTATTAAAAATGATATAACTATATAATAGCAATCCCATGTGTGATGTATCCATTCAGTACCTAACTCAACAAGCATTAAATAATATTATCTTTAGTTTTCTAATGATTGATTTTTTTTATATCTTAATTGTATTTTAAATGAAAAAAAAAAGAGTTAAAGCACTATTTGACTGTAAAGTGCATTTTAAAAACTTAATAATAAATTTAGTAGATAATGGTGAGTTAAGATAATTAAACAACCAAATTAAAAGGAAAATTCAGATGTAAATTTAATATTGTAAAAAGACTTTTGAACTTTGATCAATAGCCATTTTATTCCTTCTAGTGTAAAAAAGTTATTAATTTATCAAGTAAAATATTAACCATATAAAGAAGATATAAATTATAACTTAAATGGAATAGTTTAATCAAAACAAGTTCAAATACATAATAGTAACCAAAATTATAATATATTTATCACTAAAGAATTTTATGATTATGAAAAATAGCATACATTTTTATGTCAACAAATAGTATAAATATATAAGCACCATAACTGAAATTGTGAAATTAATTTTATGAATACAATAATCGTGCACCAAAAATATACCAAAATTAGTAATTAATTGACACAATAAGCTTTATAAGTAGTTATAGCATTTTCTCAAATACCTTGTTTAATTTAGATCCAAGAAGTAATTATAAGATACAGAATTATATATTTCTATATCATATATTATATATGTAATTATATATAAATGGGTTTGTTTTTTAATATAAAGACAAATGTTTGTTATCTTCAAATAGCGGCCCACTGTAATATTATTGAGACATCCGTAATTTAGAAATATGTTTAATATTTTTCTTAATTTTTGTTAGTGAACTACGTCTACCAATATGTTCATTTAATGGGCTCACATTTAAAGTAGTGCATGATGCCAAATGCATATTTGCTAGTTGTGTTGATGGTGTTAATGCATGCGTTCCTGGTACATTATTTGTTAAACTAAGAACTGGACTCATCATTGTTGATACTGCTCGTTTGAGCTTACTTGGTGTTTTATTGAAACTTAAAGCACGCCCTACTTTAATTCTGGTTTTACTAGCAAATCTATATTCAAAAGTAAAATTTATTAACTTTTTATAATTAAAAAATAGATTTTCATGTTTCAGACAAAATACTTACTTAAATGCTTTTCCTAATGTACCAGTTGTAATTTCACTTGTATCAATATCTAATTGTTGAGAATCCAAAGAAATTAAAATATTCCCCTAAAGATATTAAAATATAAGTAATAACAATGTATTAATAGACACTATAATATATAATAATACATACAGAACAATTTGTATTTGCCACTTGTTGTGATATATTTTTTAAAAATAAATTTTTACTGTTGGTGTTACAATTGCTTCCAGTTAAAGTAAATGTATACAAACGTTCTTGAAAATCATGATTGTCAATAATCATTAATGAAAATGTATTACGACAGTCTAAATCAATATTTAAAATACAATTTTTTTTAAATACAGCAATCCAATTTTATTTAAGTAGTTTATGAATTAAAATAATTACCATCAGTTTCTTTTATATCAATCACTTGCTTAATAATGTTTAATGGCATTAATTTTATATGTTTATACAATTTAGCTCCATTTAATTTGTGTGAACCTGAATTTGGTTCCTTAGGACTTTTTCCATTAAAACATTTCCTCTTTTTACAAACCTAATAATTTAAATATTATTGATTTTTTGGTCATGTATAAAAATTAAAGAAAAATTATCAAATTAAATTAGTTTATACCTCAACAATGTCAGAAAAAACAAATATTGTCAGATGATCACCACGTCCACTAAGATTATCACTGAGTTCTATCACATCACATTTAGTAATAAAACTTCTATGAGACGACACTAAATGGGGCTAAAAATAAAAATAATTTTTTAATAATCATTAATAATAAATATATAATAAACAATATTATATGACTTACAGGACAATTGTCAATTTCATTAAATATGTCAAATAACACAACTTGGCCCTCAGTCCTTCTTTTGTCTTCATTTATATGGGTCATCACTTCTCTTATACTAGCTAAAGCTGATACTAGTGCTATGTGATCAGGGTTGTTTTTTTCAGAATGTTTCAGTATATCTACAAATAGACAATATCTAAGATCAAAATAATAAGTAATATACTTAACAAATTGATCATACCATTTAATAGTAAACTGATACTAGGCAAACGTTGAACAGGTCGAATTAATAATTCTTGGAGACTTTGACGACAACATTCTGGTCTTGTTTGGCCAACTTTAAGGAATGCATGAAAACGAGGTTTTGTTTGATCACATTGCAGAAGCATTTCTCTTGTTTTTTCAAAGAAATTGACAAATGGTGGATAAGCTTTCACAAGTTCATTAGACTGAAAATCAATCACATAAATATTCACTCAGTAATTTTTAAACTGTAAGGAATCTTAAATGATTACGAGAATGACAACACTGCATATTCTTATCATTTTCAAATGTTTGGGATTGGTATGCATGTAAATACTCGCTTGCAAATAGCAAAAAGAACGCCAACCATCCATATTAAATGAAAGAGGTTAATTAACAGAGTGATATTCCGAAAAAATTAGGTAACATTTGGACATCTCTATAGCACTGTGTGCACTATAGATAGCCTTACCACAGTACACAGCACAGCTGTGTTGGACTTTTTTTATCTTCTTGTGAGAAAGCATGGATATCACAAGAAAGGATAATCTTATGAAAATCAGGGATTCATATAAAGAAAATCTGTAAGAATAAGAGTAAAAACAACAAGGCTTCATAGAACATTGTTGGATATTTTAAAACCTCAATAATAGGAATAAAACATTTAACAATAAACCAGGGTAGTAATGCAATACTAATGATGAACTTTACAAAATGTGGTAATTCTTATGTTCAATTATCAATTATCTTAAGGTAGATGAATCAGTTACTATTGGGTATAAGAGTACACACATTACACTTTAATGAAAAAACAATTTTTATCATTTAAATTTGATTGTGGTGTACACAATGAATCAAAAGGTCTGAATACATTGGCAATGACTTTGTTCACCTTCTAACAACTTTAATTAAAAACTAATAATTTTTTATATTAAAATAGTTTAAAGTAAAAATAAAATGAGATAATAGTACATTTCAAATAAAATTTAATTTTCGAAATTAAGTTATATTTTGAGCAATTTAAATGAACTCTTCAGTGATCACTTGAAAATTGTGTACAAAGGAGAAAATATATTAGTTTTTTACATAAAAATTATTTTAAGTGAGGAAACAAAAAAATAAAAATTATCATCACTAAGAAAATTACAAAAAATTTTAAATAATAGATTTGATAAACGATAAATTTTGACTATAGGGTAAGAATACTTATTATGACCACTTTACTACCTATTATATTATTGATATTTGATCAATAGATCACAAGCCATAACATTTTTTATTAACATAAATTAATTTTTATAACCACAATTTTAAGTTTTAGAACATATTGGTTCAAAAACTTTTTAGAAATATTTCTAAAACAAATAAAATTAATTTATGGCCACAAGTAATACAATGACCAAAACCAATGCATTTATCCTATTAATTTTTGTTAGTAAAAAATTAGATTTACGAAATGTTGTTGAATACATACATATTTGAGAAAAACACTTCCAATACTACTGTCTTCTTGCCATGTTGCAGCTAGACATTTTAACTCTTCTAACATTTCTTGATGTACTTGATAAATCGGTAAAACATTTCCAAAAATAATTTTGATCTCAGTATTGTTAAGAAGATAATCTTCTTTATCCACCATTTCTTCCAGAGGTTCTTTATAAACCTAAAACAAATTCCAATTAAAAATAGTTCTTGATTAATAGGTCTATAGTAATAGGAAAACAATTCAAAATATGTTATTTCCATTTTTTCATATTTTACATCCAAAAAGAAATTAAATGTATCACAGTACAAAAGTTTAATGACTAAAAATATTTTATGAAATATAAAATATCTCTTTTAATGTTAGAAACATTATATCAACATTTTCTTCATTAAAATAAGCTATAATCAGTATAACAAAAAAAATTATTAAATTATACTTACAGTAATTATTGTATTTAAAACTCCAACATAGTTTATCTCAGTCTGCAAAAGTTCAGAAAAAACTTGATATCTTGGACTAAATGGTTTATCTTTTGAAATTGCATCAGGTTCTAAATATTTTATTTAATATTTCAGTTTTTGATAACATAACACAATTTAAATGGAATTACCTTTAGGATGTTTGAAAGGTGATGGATCAGGACTATTGGTAAAGTTTAAAAATGATCCACAAGATAGCCTCAATCCATCTAAAGTATTAGCAGCAGAAGAGCGTCTTTTAGATGGAGCAGAACAATTATTTGGAGATGTTTCCCCCAAAGTAGTTGAAGTAGTTGGACTAGATTTTAATAATGTACTAAAACGATCCAATTGTCTTTTTCTCTTTCGTGTACGAGATGATGAACTCATAGTTAATGTTGAAGACAGTGCTGACGTTGGTGTATTAGAAACATTTAACTGAAATGTAATTATCAATAACTGTTTATAATAAAATATACTAGAAAATTAATTTTAAATGATTACATTAGTTAAAAAGTATTCTTTTATCAAAGCACAACTTTGATACTGTACTGATGTCCAAAACCATGCTTCTTTGACTACTTCAGCATTGTTATTTTTAACCAGTGGAATAGTATCTATTGAGGATTCATTAACAACCTAAATAAAATTAATAAGTAATTAATATTATTTCAAATAAAAAGCTTAATTTTTTATTACATTTTAAAAATTGAACATAAATAATAGTATTAGTAGCAAATAATAATAGCAGTACAGAACTTAAGCATACAAACAATGAGAACAATAAATAATTTTATTAAATAATTAATTTAAAAAAAAAATAACAAAGTAAAACCAATAGTTTTTCAGCGAAGCATCAAAGCTAAAAATAATATAAATAAATCATAGATATTGATTAATTAATGGAATAAAATGTATTGCATCGAGATGTTTTAATTAAATAAATCAAAATATAGCTTAGAAATATACTCCCAAAACTGATTTAGTATCACTTCCTAATTACACTTCATTTTTATTTTATTTGACTTGTAATAGTATCTAACTAGACAAAAACTCAATTTTATCAGAATTTAGTTCAACAAGTCGTTTAGAATTAAACTTACAAATATAATTATTGTCAATGATATTTTTTTGAAATAATTAATTTTTTTGGTTCATCTTTTATGCATTTTAGGAGTATCTTTGAGTATAACTATAGTTATACACCATTATCAATCACAAACACTGGTAATAACTACCAGGCTATTTATTAACACACAACAGTTATTGTCAATTATCAGTTTACTGTTTAACAGTTTATAACTTTAACTATACCCAAAGAATCAAAACTTTAAATTATATCAAATAAACAAACAAAGTTTTATACTAAATTCAAAAGCTATAAATTAAAAATAATAATAATAATTCTAATGGATTTATAAAATTAAAAATATTTGTTTTCATTAATATTAAATATGTTGTTACCCTTATAACATATAAAAGATGAACAAAAAAAAACTAAAATAGAAAATAAATCAAGAATTATATAAAATTGAAAAATACAAAAATTGTTTTCAAAATTATTAACATTTTATAAGTTATCACAAGTATTTTATGATTCAATCATCATAAATATAATACCCCTATATATATAGGTGTTCAATAAGTAAGGAAATTGGTTTCTATTTTTCTCATTGTTTGTAACAACTGACCTGTTTCCTTACTTCCAGAACACTCTGTATATATATATAAATATAAATTTTTAATATTTCTTAAATAATTACTAATTATATTAATTAGTATTTTTTTTTTTATAAATAAAATTGTTTATAAAAGTAATTTTATGTAGAAATAAAAAAAAAAAATTAAATAGCCTATAACAAAAATGAGATTACAAGATAATTATTATTACATAATCAGTTTTTTTTTTTTTTTTTTAAAGAAGCAAAAATAGTTTTTTTTTATTAAGTACATAAATTACTTTTGTATTATAGAGTTAATTTTAGTTCTTATTTTTTTTAAATTTAATTAATTAGAAATTATTTATTTTTATATAATATTTTTGTTTACGATAAAAATTCATAAAACTACTAGTTTAGCAATAAAATAGTTGTACAAGAAATTTTAATTTAAAACAAAATATGTACCAAATTATTATTTGGAGAGTGTTCCAAATGTGTTGATAGAGGATTAGGATGTTTAAACAGGTGCACGTTGTTATCTGGATTTAGAAAACGCTTCTTCTTGATTTCATGCAAGTTATTTCCATCAGTCATACTGAGTGTTCGTTTTAACCCCCCATTCCTAGTATTAGGACTGGTAGATAGGATATCCTCTTTTTCTAAAGTTTTGATTAGATTTTTAGGAGCCAAAACACCTCTTAAACATGATGTAACTTTTGAATCTCGATCAATTAAAGGACTAGAGACATAGGCAAAGCCTTCCTTTGTTACCTGGCATGCAAAATAAATAAAACGACAACACATAACACCATATTATTTGAACACATTTATTAATTCTTGCTAAGTTATAATTAATAAAGCAATTATTGTTAGTACATAAAAAAAGTTACATGTAAATAAAAGTGATTCAAACTTACATTTTTTAATTTTCACCTACACTAAAACTCAATGGTCGTAATCAAAATTGTTACCAAAATGTCATTCTAATAAGGATTTGATACTCTAATTTAATTAATATAATTTCATAAATAATTTACATTACAAATACATTTACAGTTTATAAATTTAAAGATTTAAAATAAAATTTGTTTTTTTTTACTTTTATCTACTTAACTTTTGATTCATGAAATTATATTCCTCTAAATATTAAACATTGCTTAAAATACATCGTTGAAAATAGTTTAAATCTTTTTTTATACTTTAAATATTGTATATTTTATACAATATAATATCAAAATTATATATTTTAAATGATACTTTAATTAATTTATTAATTTTTGGGTTAACCCTCTTATCAAAATGGGGTAATGTTTTAAGAATCTATATTAAATAAAGATATCAAACAAAAATAATTATTAATTAAGTCTTAAGAAACATGTTGCAGTTATATATCAGGCTAAAATTTTACTGTAGTATAAGTAAAATTCTAATAAATTAGAGATATCACATATTTGTCTAAATCAAAATCTAATTATTTTTCATTAAAATTTGAACCACCATATATATTTTATGTTAAATTGTACAAACTTTTTAAAGCTTAATGCATAGCAAAAGCAATAGTTATTGTTGATTTTTTTATTAAAATTAATATCCTATTTGTATCCTAAATGAGCACATTTATAATTCTCTATTGTAATATTGATGAATTAACAAAAACATTTCACAAAATTAAACAAATTAATTTAATAAGTACTGCAAAATTTTAAATATGTATTAATTTAATATTTTTTTTACTCTTATATTATTTAAATATAAAGATAGAATCTTATAGTAGTTACAATTATCAACAATTAACCATTCTTGAATTAATTGAACATAAACACAATTATACTTATAGTATTAAACCACAGAAAACAACAAATAAATATACTACATACCAAATGAGTACATTCTGCATCATTTTCATCAACAGGTGTTCCACCATTTTGTAGTAAAACATCTATCATATGAGTTCTTTCTTCTTCAGTAAACCCGGTAAAGCATATCTTAGCTCCATGGAATGGTTTCAATTTGTGATCAGACACCTAATATAAAGAAATATTAAAATTGAATTACTTAGTCAATTAATTTAAATTAATTTTAATAACAATTAATCATACAAATGCTGAATTTGTAGCTAAAAATCCCAGTTCATCCCGTCTTTTCCAAGCTTCATATAACCAAGATGAATTAACAACTGGAATTTCATGTAAATATGCATACTGAGATTTAGCACTGCATGCATAGCCAGACACTAAAAATGTGGTTTTGTGATTTATGTTTTCACGAAAACTACCCCCCATCCATCTGATTAAACTCAAAAGACGAGCCTAAAAAAATAAAAACCATTACTTAAAAATAATTAAATAAAAAAAATTAATAACTCACCATTTCATCTCTTTTTTGAATTCCAGTAACACTAACAATAGCTCCAACTAAAGCATTACAATAACGATGCCGATTTATACCCTGTAATCCATTAGGACTAACAGCTAATTCCAATAATGCTGGTCTACCTAGTATTCTGAAGAAAATATTTTTGATATTCATAATTATAAACAACAATAAAATCATTTATATAGTTTTTATCGCAGTATTAAACAATTACTTTAACTTTTAACTAATAACTTTTAGTAATATCTCAATCTCATACAATTATATGAACTAAAATAAACAAATTAAACAATACATTTTTAAAAAAAAGTTAAGTTTAAAATTACTTAATTTAAATATTTTATTTAATATCAATAATTTTAAAATTATAGTTCAATTAGTTTATCTAAAGGAGTTAAATAATGGTTTAATAATGAATTGTTTTAAGACTAATAAAATAACTTACTTAAAACTAGGTCTTTTGCTAGCTATTTCTTCAAAGTGTGCAGTAACTAAAATATCATTTTTATCTAAATTATTGGCATCTGATAAATCATTTAAATGTTTAACGACCAAATTAAGTTTCTAAAATTAAAGGGAAATTATTTAAATGTAAATTATACATCAAATGATTGTTCATTATAAAGTAGAACCATACTAACCTTAATAGCATAAATGATATCTGTATCAGATATTAGCGTTTTTTCTAAAAATACATAATTATGTAATGAAATTTCCGATTCTAAGCTCGATACACCTGCTCAAAATAAAAAAAAAAATTATTAGTCTTGTCACAAATCCTGATTTTTGAGTCAAATAGAACCCAACTGAACTTTTAATATATAAATCAAACTTGAATCAAATCAAAATTTTTCAGATAAAAATAATGGAGTTATTCTGGAATATATTTTTTGAATATAAAGGAAACAAAGTTTTAATTAACCCAGATTAATAAAAAAATTTATTATAAATAATATTACCTTCTATAATAACTGAAAGTAGACTATCCATACTTTAACATGAAATTTAAGTAAAAATTGTGTTTCATACAAGTCAAAGAACTTAATAGAAAAAAAAAAAAGTCATCACTAAATTTAAATAAAAAAATGTTCAACAAAATAAAATTTATGTTTTGTTTTAAAAATTTATTTGATAAATTCTACATAAAAAAAAATTGTTAGAAAATAAAAAATGATTTACCAATCTAATCTAAAAAAATAAATATTTTATCTATTTAACTGATTTAGAATTATCTAGTAATATTTAGTACTCATTATTTATTACAATCAATTAAATTGTTTGTTTGAGTAGCTGAAGATAAATTGAAGTCAGTGGCTTTATCTTTTTTAAATGTTTACTCAGATAACAAAAATATGAACTCTTAATTTTGCATAATATTTAAGATTACTTCTATATTTTTAAATCTAAAAAACACATTAAAAATATACTTTAAGATCATTAATGTCTTACTAGTAGTAATTTTTACTTTCAGGAATAGATATAATTATCTTAATAAATTAAAAACAATATAGGTACAAAAAACATGTTTTTTATTTAAAATACTCATATGGTAATAAATATCACAAATTAAAGAATACCAACAATTAGTTTTCTAATATATTTAAAATAATTTATTATTCCCAAATAAAACTATTGACCGTCATTTATGTGTCTTCTAATTTCTAAAAATGTTACTTGTAAACAGCTACTTTTAAACTTAGAAAAATATTCACCATCTATTAATAAATACTAATGTTCACTATGTCCAGCTCACATGTTTCTATTCTATTTGAAAATTTTAATATACAATGGCATAATGCCAATGGTAACATGAAAGTTGTTTAATGCGCACAACCTACCGATAGCACATTCAACTTAGCCTAGTTATATGAGGTACATATGATAAAAATAGATTAGGTGTTCAACTAGTTTTTTCTGTTAAGGTGAGAATCTCATAAAAAAAAAAAAATTCAGAAATATATTCTTGTATGTAATGAGTTACATATAATAAAAATATGACTAACATATTTTTAATACCTAAAAAATGAATAATAAAATAATCTGATTTTATTGATACTATTGTCTTATCAGTTTCCGATAAATTATACAATGTAAAACCCAATTTAAAAAAATGATATATTAATCATAATAAAAATATCAAAAGTATCAAATATTAATCATAAAACTCACTTTGTGTTTTTACAAATTTCTCTTCGGGATCGCAATTGGTCTGTCCAGTTTCGCGCACCGACATTTTAATAAAATGCTTTTCACAGTTATAATTTGAAATTAAAATTTTCAACGCGGCGACACATCGCGTCCTCTACAACATTCGTTGACGACGACGAGCAACAACGCAAAACGACACTGATAAAACCAAAGTTTATAAAATAAGTTTAATTAAAAAAAAAAAAAAAAATTGCACGATACGATTATGTGAGGAGAGACATTGAGTTTTATCAACAAAAGACGAATGGCACATTGCGAAAATAAATAAATAATAAATGAAATCAAAAAATTCAAAATTAATACTGAAATAAGTAATCACTAATGAAAAAATTTACTCAATAAAAAAAAAACATATATAACACAGACAAATATATATACACACACACACACAAACACAAGAAACGAGTGAAAACATTAAAAACGGTTAGGACGCACGCGCACGCTTAAACAGGTGTAAAATATTTAAAGACCCCTTCTGATTGGTTAACGGTTAACGAAAACAAATTCCACAGCCGATCTCTTTAAAATATTCACTTATGTATTCTAATGAAACAATATTTTCCGAATTCATTACTTTAATGCTAACATTAGTATTCAGAAAATTATTTTTTGTTGATTATTTTTAATAATTTTAACTCATTATCAATAATATACATAATAACAAAGTCATTACATTGATACATTGTTTTTGCCGGCTAACCTAAAAAAAGTTTACCTAAAGCAATGAAACGAAGTATCTCGATAACGAAAAAGTCCATAAATTATTGAATTTGATATTTATAAACTAATCCACTTCTCATACACCATTCAATTGATAGAAAAATGAAAATAATAGTAAAAATTTTAGCTTCAATGCGAAGCTGAGAAGTTATTGGTTTTACTATGATGTATTTTTTTTTTTGTCTATTACCACTTTTTCTCAGCTCTCACCGAACGGATTTCTTTCAACGANTGTCTGTTACCACTTTTTCTCAGCTCTCACCGAACGGATTTCTTTCAACGATACGTCAAAAGATCACAAATCGTATCTAGTCGAAGACATTACCCTTAAAAATTGAAAAGANGTATCTAGTCGAAGACATTACCCTTCAAAATTGAAAAAATTTCCTTCGTTCCTCGTAAATGGGGGAAACCTCCAAAAAAATTACAAATTTAAAAATCGCTAATTTTCGAAATTTTTTCAATTATTTTTATTAAAAACTGCCGTAACTTTTTCAATAATGAACATATCAATATAATTTTTTTATAGATGCTTGATGTCTCTACCTATCATTTGGTGTATTTTTTTTGTAAATTTGACCTTTTTTCTGGCCACAGTGAGGAAATTAAAATGACAACTTTTTCACAAAAAATTAACTTTTTCAACTTAACTTTTAAAAATGTTCCGGAAGGTCTGACACTTTTATATATATCTTAAATTAAAGCTAATGTAATGTACTTTAATTTGAAAAAAAAAAATTTGACCTCTGGACTTGTCTTCACGGTGAAAACGGCTACCGAATGCTATTTTTGTGTGAAAATTTTCGATTTTATAATTTACATTTTTTACTTTAAAGTGCTATAACTTTTTAAAAAATGTATGGATCAATACAATTTTTTCATGAGAAGTAGTATTTATATACATCTTTCATTGGATATACTTTTTTTTTAAATCAGACTATTTCCCTATATATGGGGGGGCTTCAAATATAAAAAATGCATATAGAAAGTAGAACTTTTTCAACTTAACTTTTGAAAATGTTCCGGAAGGTCTGACACTTTTATATATATCTTAAATTAAAGCTAATGTAATGTACTTTAATTTGAAAAAAAAAAATTTGACCTCTCGACTTGTCTTCACGGCGAAAATGGCTACTGAAGGCTATTTTCGTGTGAAAATTCTCGATTTTATTATTTATATTATATTTAACTTTATAATGCTATAACTTATTGAAAAGTTTATGGATCCACACAATTTTTTTATGAGAAATAATATTTTTTAATAATCCCTTTTTCATTCGACATACTTTATCTTAATCGAGATATTAATAAGGAACGAGCAGATCAAGTAGCTTTTGGAATAAAACACCAATTTTTTTAAAATTAAACACTATCTAAAGATTTGCATCGAAGCGTTTATTTTTTTAAACGTGTGATTTTAATCACTGTCAGATATCATTATACTTAATCCAACTATGCCACGTCACCACTGTGCCGCAAACCTCCTGTGCTGGGTTTTTTTTGTTTGTTTCTTTTAGTTCAATGTTTTTTTTTTAACTTTTCAATCATAAAGATTTTTGATCCCTTATACCTTATAAGGTGTCAACTTTATTTCTCAAATCGCAACACGCATATTTAAATAATTAATTAATAATAATTAACTAGCTAATGATAATTTGGAAAATTACTAGTCGATAACCACTTTTAGACCAGTATTTTGGAAGTATTGAGTAATTAAAAGATTTAAATATTTTGGAGGTAAAGAGTATTGCTGCTAATTTTATAACTAAAGGATGAACATTAAAAAAACTTTATGATTGAAAAATTGAGAGAAACCTTGAACAAAAAAAAGCAAATAAACAAAACTATTATTATTATATTTATTTTAAATAAGTAAATTTATAAAATTTATCGATTAAATAAGTAGTTCATGATAAGTAATCTGCATACATAATAACAACATGGGTACTCATCTGATAAAATGTATTAGACATAAAAATTTGAGTATACAGAGCGATTTAAATGTATTAATGATATAAAGTCAAGGGGAGTAAAACTTTTCTTACTGAATTATACTTAAGATAAAAAAATAAAAATTTCTGTAATATAAAATAATCAATAATAATAATAGCTTTATTTTAAATTAATATATGTTATTTACATTGTATGGGTACTGATTATATATTGTAAGATACACATTCATAATAAAGTAGTTGGTCAATTGACCGTTTACTAGTATGGTTTTGTTAATAAGTTCTACACAATTCAATCATAACAAATACACGATTTTTTTTAAAAGAACCATTTTTTGAAGGATAATATATTTTCTATGTCGCTCTTGGTATCTCACCCACCAATGGGCGCCAATGAATATGTTTAAATGTATATAATATATATGTTGTACTTTTTCCTAAAAAGGCGTACAAAAATCGTATAACCACTTAATATATTGTTATATTCAACAATTATAGACACCTTTTTACCAGTGCACTTAATTATTGAAATTTTGATGCTAACGTCATTTGATTAAGATAGCGTTGATATATTACTTGGTAGTATTTATATAAAATGAATTGTTTTAAAATTTCGATTTTTATCTCAAACCAATAAATTTAACGAATGAAACGATCAAAGAGGTCTAAACTTCTAGATGTTGATATTTATACATTATATAACATGTAAGACAAGTCTCTAATACATATTCCAAGAACAGATCGATGCATTAATGTAAAAAAGAGTCAAATGTTTGTTTGACGAAAATAAGTTAACTGAGTGATTGTATTAGCCTTAGAGTAAAGTTAAAAGAACAAAAATAGATGAAACATGAAATTATAAATCGAAGTTTTGCACAAATTGTTTTTATACTATTAAAAATCAATAATGACTTGATAACATTTTGTATTTTTTTAATTAACTTTCTTATGAGTAAATATTTATTTTTTAATTAGTAATAATCTCAAAAAAGTGGTGATCGAAAGAAATTTAATTTGTTTCGTTGCAAATCTGTAAATAATGTATTAATTTTAAAAAAATTATGGATTATTCCAAAAGTTACATGATCTTTTATTTCCTTATTTATATATTTATTACAAGTTTTATGATTTATAAGTGTAATATATGAATGTAAGTATGTAATACATGTAATAAATGAAAGAAGAGTATAAATAGTACTTATCTTAAAAAAATTATAATGATCCATTTTTCAAAAATTATCGGTAAATTTTGTCATTTTTTTCACTTTTTTTTCTTAAAACTTCCATAACTTTTTAAAAAATAAACAAATCAACATAATTTTTTTTTCTACTAAAACCTTAGATATTTCCCTTTCGTTTGATATCATTTTGTTGAAAATCTAACACTTAACTTGCTCATGGGGGGGATTTAAAATAGCAACTTTTTTACAAAAACTAACTGTTTCAACTTAATTTTTGAAAATGTTCCGGAAATACTGCGTCCTTTAAACATATATCAAATTAAAGCTTATTTTATGTGCTATAAAATAAAAAAAAAAAATTTGTCCCGACACTTTATCTTTTGCATGTAAACGGCTGCCGTAGTTAAAAAAACGCTATTTTTGTGTTAAAATTTTCGATTTTCGATTTTAAATTTTCAACTTAAAAAAGCTATAACTTTTCGAAAAATGTATGTATCAGCACAATTTTATTTTTCTAAATATATTATAAGTATATCTTTCATTTGATATACTTTTTATTAAAATTGGATAAAGTCCCCTGATATAGGGGGCGTTCAAAACTTGAAATATTGTAAAAAACATAGATCTTTTTCAACTGAACTTTTGAAAATGTTCCGGGAATACTGCGTCCTTTAAACATATATCAAATTAAAGCTTATTTTATGTACTTTAAAATAAAAAATAAAAATTTGTCCCGACTTCATCTTCTATGCGCAAATGGCTACCGTAAATAAATACATAAATAAGTACATAAATTTGAATTTAAGATATATATAAAAGTATAAAGGGAAATGGTCCGATTCAAAAAAAAAAAAAGTATGTCGTATGAAAGAGGTATTTAAATATTATTTCTCATTAAAAATTGTATTGATTTATACATTTCTCGAAAAGAAAAATTTCTGAAGTTCATACTGGTTTGAACATTGCTACTTTACTTTCAAAGATTTTAGTTAAATTGGGTATTAATGATATGGTAATCACAATAGTTTCAGACAACGAGACAAACAATAAAAATGCAATTAATGAGCATTTAACCCAACCACCAGAATCCCTGTATAGCACAAATTTTTAATTTAAGTATTAATGAAGCTATTTCGTCTAAAAAAGAATTTCTTGATGTTTTAAAAAAATGATGAACTTAGGTCAGACATTTCAAATACAGTGTTGTAGCATCAGAAAAATTAAAAGAATTACAAATACATATGGTTCTTTCACTTATATAGTAAAACAAGATGTTAACACTAGTGTGCATATAAATGAGAGACTAATTTTGATAAAAGCACTTTTGTCTACAGTCATAACACATTCTACGCGCGCCGCCCATTCATTAGAATGGGAAATTTTATCGGACCTTTGTTAAAATCATTCCATATTATGACTGTTAAAATATCCAATAATTTCTTAAGTAATTCCGCTAATAATAAGAGGTAAGCAATATACATTAGCAATTGTAGATACTAAAATAGCAGAAGAAGTTCAATTTAAAAAAATCGAGAA